AAGTAGCAAGAAAGCAGTTTCTCAGCCTGACTTTCCTCTTGGTTGGTTTTACAGCAGTCTGTGCAAAGGGCTTTGCTTTCCTTTAGTACTGGAGTGTTCCAGTCAGTAAAGTTCCCTTCTCCCTGCTGCACTGAGATCAGTGATCTGAGAGTCAAACAGGCACCACCAGCACTGCAGGAGCACAGTGCTCTGGGGCTGCTACAGGGCTGTGACAGCAGCTCTGCTGGATCACATCACCCAGGGGAGACATCTCCAAATAGTCAGACTGGGCAATCATGGAACCTGCCAGGTGAAAGGGGAGAAGATTTTACTCTAAAATGTCTTTCAGGATACAGACAGAGACTTGACTTGATTGGAGAAAACAGCCAGCCTCTGGCAGTCAACCTGTCAGGCTTGCAGTCAAAAGAGCCCTGGTAAAGCCATGTGTGAAACAGCCCAAGTGATGCACATGTACCTTGCATCCCACATCCACTTTCAGCTGCTGGGGTTCATGGATTCACTGGGTGGTTTCACAGGATACAATGCAAAGGGGAGCTGGCTTTTGAGTCAGGAGCACTGAGTCCTGCTCCCTGGCTGCCATGGCCTGTTACTTAATCTTAAGCAAGGAAAGTCTGTGTGCTGCAATTCCCCAGCTTGTGTAGGATTCACCTTTAAGTGCTTTATTTTCTGACCTAATGAGTGTTGAGTCCAGATTTTAAAACAAGTTGCAAATCCTCACCTGGTTCAAGTGGAGAGAGATGCAGTGGATGGAGAATGGGAAATGAGATCTGAAATTGCCATCAGCATTCAACACAGACTCGTCAATTCATTTCATATTCCTCATTAACCAGTCAGATTGATTTATTCACATTATAAATTTGAAGTGTAACCAAAATAAGCTCACCTCCTGCTCTGATTTCTCCTTTGTAGTGCCATGCTTTAGCTTTGAGAATCTGTGAGGAACTAGGCAATGATAGATCATGGAAAACCTAATAAAAAGCCTGTGTCTGTTTTTAACTGTCCCTCTGCTAGCTGAGTACACTCCTTAATTGACTGCATTTGAGCTTTCTTGATGCTTCTGTATGACCTAAAAGGCTTCAGTGATTCCAGCAGTTGTGAGTGATTCGGGAGTTTAACATAAAGCCTCTGGATCTCTGTGGTTTTAAATATACTAGTTCAACTCAAGGAGAAAAGTCTTAATCCTAGGTAGTGAGCAAACAAATGTGAACTTCAACCACAAAACAAGATAAAAACTGATCAAGCTAACAGCCTGAAACCTTAGCCCTTATGATAACAGCAACAAATAGCTTTAGCCTCTAGGGTGGAGAAGGGAATTGGTTTCAAAATGCATTCTCTAGGATCTCGGTGATTAGGTCTAATTTTGTCTGTACCTTGTACTGCATGCATTTTCTCTGTAAAACTGGATGGTGCCTCTTGAATCAGTGTGTATTTATTTTGTGCATATTAGGACCAACAGCCTAATATCTGGGGGTGGTAAAGGACTTGTAGCACTTTAATGTAGTAGCTTTCATAAATTGGGAATCATTGATAGAATGCCTAGTGTTTTTAAAGTTGAATGGACTTCCTTTTATAATATATTTAAAATAAATTTTTAATGTGTTTTCTGAAAACTGTGTACACAGATGTGACTGTCCCCACCTGTTTTGCTCCAGTGATTGATTTTTCTCCTACTTGTGAGAATAAGCTCAGCTGCCCTGGTGTGGTTTTCCCAGCACAGGTTTCCTGTCACTCCATGCCCAGTGGTGCAATGCTGAAGGAACCATGGCTGTAGTGGATGACTTGTGTCCAGGTAGGCCACTGCTGGGCTGGACTTTCCTTGGTAGGGCACACTGGGGAAGCACAGAGGAACGGAGAAAAGCCAGCTGTGACTCTTCCTTGTCTGCCTGTTTGCCTTGGGAGCGACTGCTGGGAGATCCACCCCACCCCTTGGTTTGCAGGGTAGGGCTTTAACAGCTTGTGGCCTTGTTTGTGTTCTGATCTCCATGTGAGGAGAGCAGGCTCAGCCCAAGACAATAAATCAGCATTGCTCATGTTCCCACTAGGACCCTCAGTGCTTCCTACTGTCACCACTTCATTTCTTCAGTGGCCTTCTCAATTACTCCTTTTTACTCAGCTCCTTGGGTGAAAAACAGTGGGGGGAAAATGGATGGGAGACAAACAATGAAATGTGTGAAAATCCGTGTATGGGAAAAGGAATCTTTCTGGGGGGACCAGCAAGGCAGGATCCCCAGGGAAGACTGTGCTGTGATTCTTGGCCACGGGAACATTGCCCAGGGTAAGTATGTGCCAAAAGCTGTGACAGTTTAAGCATTTTAACAGGTTCAATATGTGCCACCCTAGAAAAGTGCTGAGCAGAGTGGGAGTCTGGGGGAAGGTGCCAGAGCAGTGTTTTCATTGGCCTCCCCAAGGTACTGTGAAAGGAAATGGTCTGATATCTCATGATGAAAAGTTTAAAAAAACCTTCTTCCCAGGACATCTCAAGCAGCACAGACCGTTGTGAGAGAAGTATTTCTGTCCTGAGCCCCCTGAATGCATCCATTAAAATAGTAAGTTCCAGATGACAGCTACACCACCAACTTTAGAGGGTAGTGCTGCTCCAGGTGAGATTTACAGGCCTGCATAGGTTCCCCTAATTTGATTAGAGGCTGACTGGGATGGCCAAGCTATTACTGCTTTAGAGGCACTAAAACTGCCTGGGTACTGATGGGTTTATGAAACATTGTTTCTCACTTCATTGCAGCTCCCACAAAGAATTATTGGATCAGGTTAGTGATAGATACCTAATAAAGAATGTCTCTATGAGGCAGTTTATTTTGCAGCAAGCTTGTTCCAGACTAGCAGACTGTGAAATCCGGAGGTTCCCATGAGGATAAATATGCTGAAATAAACTGCAATTATAAAAACACCTCCATGCATTTTTTTTTTATTTTGAAAGACTGAAAAAAAGGTGTCATCGTGTTAGCCTGAGCAGAAGGTAATTAGCACAGAATTAGCAAACAGACAGTGACAAAAGCTGTGTTTTTCCTTCCAGAGTAAGCATTGCAAAAGGACTTAAAACCTTTTATCTGCAGGAATGAGAGGTTGCACCCAAGATGAAATACAATCTGATGGTCAGTACCCGCCTGTTCTGAAATTTACGGTGCCTGTTTCTTCCCAAAATATAGTCAGGGAACACCTGCACAATCTCCTCCTCAAGGGGATGGGAAGAAGTTCTGCTTGTTAGGGCCGTGTTCCCTTTTATCTCCTTGCTTGCTGTTATCATGTGTCCCTACAGTCTGTGGTTTTGGCTTCCTGAGTGTCAAGATAATCCTTCTGCAAGATTTCCTCAGCCAGCCATTTGATTTTTATTGGTAATGTTAAGATAAAGCCAGAAAGCTTGTTATCAGCAGCTCTGAGATCTCTGTCAGCCTCTTGGTGTTTTCCCTTTCCCCAAAACAAGGAATATCTGTACGGCTTTGCCATGAGGGTATTACTTCAGGCAGACAGATTCCAATCAGTTTGGCCTGGGGCTTTTATAAGCCGTAGTGTTTTACTATTTTAAATCTCTTTGCTACCTGCTTGTTTGGTCTGTGTGTAAAGTCATTTGTTTCCAGCAGCTTCCCGTGAGAACGGCCGGCTCCAGGGAGAGTGTCCCCAGGAGGGTGCACTGTGGTTCTCTGCTGGTCACATGCACAAACAGAAATTACTAATTGCCCGAGGGCACCCGCAGTAAAAGCCAAGCCAAGAGGCGGAACTGTTGAGGAGTTTTAAATCTCTGCCCTCCAGATTTATTCTGAGGCTTGTTTGGTATTATAAGAAGTGCTTGGAAAGTACAAATTTTGGTTTTTCTCAGTTCCCTTGTGCAGAGCATGCAGAACTGGTTGCCAGTGTTACTGTGTGGAGCAGCCTGAGCTGATGACCTTTCAAAAAAAGGGCTTTAAGGAGTTTCTTTCTTGCGAAGGTATTTCGTGTGATTCAGCACAGTCCACCCAGTGCTCGCACACATTGTTCCATGTGCGGGATTTCAGGCTTTGAAGTCATTTCAATCTATAGAATCTTTCTTCTGTCTGAGCAGAATGCCCTTTCTTCAGGAACATGAAATCCTTTTCCTTTTAGAGCTGCTCAGGAACCTCTGAAAACAGCATTTGCTGTCTGGTATTACAGAAGTCACAGCATTTCCAGAAGTTACATCTTTTCTTCACAGATAGCAGGAATTTCATTCTTTCCCTCCCCTTCCCCCGCTCCACTTTGCTTCCTCCTTTTTTTCTCTTTTTTTTTTTTTTTTTTTTTTTTTTTTTTGGCGGGGGGAAGATTTTGGGGTTGGGGTTTTTTGTCGGTTTTTTGGGGTACCTTTTGGGTTTTGGTTTTCCTGAAGATGAAAAACGCGAAGCTTAAAGTCACATTGCTTTAAGAAACAGTTCTCCAGGTCCCATCTTTTCACTATCGCTGCCTTGTGATTGGGGGGTGTGGGGGGGGGAGAGAAAAAAAGAAACATTGTATTTCTTATAAAAAAAATTACATTTCAGTCAGGAACTCCTAGGTGACGACCCAAGAACAGGGAGTTGTGGCTGTGCCGAACCGAGTTTTGTACGAGGGCCGGGTGCCGGGTGGGAGCCGCAGCTTTCAGTTCTGTCACAGGAGCGGTGCCGGTGCAGCTGCGGGCGGCTGCAGGAACCCGCGGTCCCGCGGCTGCAGGCGCGTGTCCCGTGCGCTTCTCGGCAGCAGGGGAAGCCCGAAGGCCGGCGGGACCGGGACTCCTCCCGCCTTCTCCGGGCGGTACCAGCTCGGCACTTGCTGAGCAGCGCCGGGAGCGGCCGGGTCCCCTCACGGTCCGGCGGGGCCGGGGGGGGCCGAGCCACCGCTCCCTCCGCGCGCCCCTCACGGCGACCTTCCGGCTGCGGGGGCCGGGCGGCGGCGGCGGACGGACAGCTCCTCCGGCCAATCGGCGCTCGGAGCGGCACAGGGCGCCCCGCCCCTCCAGACGCGCGGCCCAATCAAAGCCGTGCCTGAGGGCCGGGGGGCGGGACTTCCGCGGCCGGGGAGGCGGTTTTGTGTGTGCGAGCGCTGCGCGGTCCCGGCTCCCCGCGGGCGGCGGCGCTTGGGGGGCCCGGCCCGGCCCGGCCCGACCCCGCGGGCAGCGCTGAGCGGCGGCGGCGGAGGGGGCTCCCCTCCCCTGCCGTAGTGGGGGGCCCCCGCGGAGGCGGCGGGGTCCCCCCGAGGGCGCGGTAGTGACGGCGGCTCGTCCTCCGGTTGGTCCCCCCGTTGTCGGCTCCCCGCGCGGGGTGAGGGGCGGGCAGGTGGGCGATGAATGGGTTCAGCACCGAGGAGGACAGCCGGGATGGGCCGCCCGCCGCCCCCTTTTACGGCCAGAGCTGCTGCCTCATCGACGACGGGGACCGCTGCGTGCGCCCCGCCGGCAACGCGTCCTTCAGCAAGAGGATCCAGAAGAGCATCTCGCAGAAGAAGCTGAAGCTGGACATCGACAAAAGTGTGAGTGAGGCCGGGGCAGCCGGGCTCCGCCGAGCCCCCCGGAGGGGCGGCTGGGCCGTCCCCAGCCGCCACCGCACTGCGGTGCCTCGGGGGAGATGCGGATCCGCCCGGCGAGTTGAGCTCCCGGGCGGCCGGCGGGGCTGGCGTTGGCGCTGCGGGCTGGGCTGCGGGGCTGTGTGCGGCTCCACGGTGCCTCCGGACCGCGGCTGCCCGTCCTCAGCGCTACAGCGCTCGGGAGGGGAAGGACGTGCCTGGGTGGACCCGGCTGCTCCCCGGGTGCAGAGCCGGCTTTTCCCTGTGGCACTGCCCGCCTGCTGAAGCACAACGTAGCTAAAGCGCTAAACGCCGTGTTTGGGAGGCGGGTGGTGTGCAGGGAAGCACAGAAGCGAGCTGTCAGTGCTTCGGAGGCAGGAGTGCTGTTCCCATTGCGGTTTCGGGTTGGAAAGGCTGGTGCTGTCAGGTAAAAACAGCGCTGTGGTTGCCGCTTCAGTCAGGCGGCACTGACGTTACTTCTTTAATTGGTGAGAATTGGTGTTGTAGTGAAGCAGGTTAAAAACCGAGCTGGCAGTGAGATGTGCTGCCTCTTCAGCAGGGCTTATTCGCACACAGAACAGCCCGGTTTGCTGCCTAATGGCATTAAGTGACAGCTGTCAGCTCGAGATAGGAACGGGTTATTTGCCCAGCAGAGAAATAGGCAGAGCAGAGCGGATCACAGAAGGAATTTCTCAGAAGTGACTTCATTAACGGAATTCAGCTATGCGCGCTTTTCTCGCCTGATCTGTAAAGATCAAAACCACTGAAAACAAACCAAGGCGGGGGGGGAAGGTGAAGTTTTGAGTCAGTCTGTTTGGCAGCTCCCCCAGTTGGTTGGGTCTCTTCTGCACAGCCGAAATGCATCGTGTCACGGGAAAAGTGACTCAGTTTGAAACATATTCTTAAAAAATAGAGTATTTCTCTCAGTTGTAGTTCTCAGCAGATTTGTCTAGTGGCGTAGTAATTTCTTGCATTTTAGAAATGAGTCTTTGTTGACAGATGCCAGGCTTTAGAAACAAAAAGGGGAAATCAGACTAATGCAGTCAGAACAAAGGGGAAGTGTAATGCAGACTGCATGGAGTGATTTTGGATGTAGTGTGCCTGTGTTATCTGAAGATCTTCTGCCTTGTAGATATCAAATATCATTTGGTTGATCATTTATCAAATATCATTGGTTTGATCATTTGAAGTGCTTTGTTTTGCTAACTCTAGTGAGATAATATTTGTTAAATGGGAGGTTCCGTGGCTGAACAAGCAATAGGAAAGAGGCTATTCTGCATTTTTTTTTATTTTTTCAGTTGAGGTGATCAGCTCAAGTTTTATTTGATCGAGGTTTTGAAGCATTTGTCTAATTAATCCTCTGTACTATTCAAGCTAGAAAGTTCACAACAGTGAAATAGAAAAATACATTTTTTGGTAGTTACCTGCTAGTAAGTCCTGAAATAAACACACTTCCTCCAGACAAGCAGCTATATTTTCCTGATGTATGATTACAGCCATAAAAAAGAAATATTTTATCTGCAGAGGTTCAAGTTCAGCTGGAGCTTGAGTTGTTTTCTTTGCCTTTAGTATTTGTAAGGTAAATTATCTCTGAATACAGAGTGTGATATCAGCGCTGGGATCTAAGATTAGAAATTCCTTGATGTCAGTCAGTCACGCAGGTCTTGAGGGGTGCACCTGACACTGGTGTCTAAGTGGCTGCTGCATGATGCTATTTCACAGTATCTCTTTTGATTGCTTTTTCACCACTTCTGGTTCTCAGGTGAGACATCTGTATATTTGTGATTTTCACAAGAACTTCATTCAAAGTGTTCGGAACAAAAGGAAGAGGAAGACGAGCGATGATGGAGGTGACTCTCCTGAGCATGACACGGATGTTCCAGAGGTTTGTGAGCTGCTTTACCAGTTCTTAGCACGTTGAAGTTTCTCTTGAATGTTTTCATAGATAGAAAATATTCGTATTTTAAATTGCAAGGCCATTGAAACTGCTGTGGAATTACTTTCACTTTCCAAGAAGAGTTTTTTCTAATGTGTGGTGTCCTAATTTTCTTCATTCCCATGTGAGTTCCTTGCCCAAGTAAAGTTTTCTATAAAAAGAGGTGTGATAAGGTGACTGCACGGCTTCATCTATATACAGTTAAAATTGTATTTGATACTAATTTTTTAAGGCTAAACACAAGTTATTTTTGGTGGTGTCTGATGCCCCAACAATTCTTTGTTACTTAGTATGTATCATTTTGCAAATACACTACAGAATCCAATAGGTCACTCTTTTTGATTAGGTATTTCATACACAGTGGTGTTGAGCTGCTCCAGATATTTGCATATGTGGCATTTTTTAGCACTATTTAAAACTACCTTTAAATAGTTGGTGACACATTTTTATTTTCAGGAGACAGGCCCGGGGGAAGTTTTCAGTGATAGAGAACTCTAGAATAATCATTTCTCTGTGCCACTGCGTGCTGCACTTGCTTCAGTGATGGTTCTGGTACTGTTGACATGGCAAAAGTTGTGCAGAGGTGATATTCAGAGAAGCAGAGCATGGCCACGTCAGCAGAGCCCTCTGCTGGAAATGCCAACCCTATTGGCAAAAAGCCGTTTATTTCTGAAAGAAAAAAAAAAAGACACCAAGAGTCATTTTGCCAGCAAAGCTGTGTCTTGGTGCAAAGCTGGTGCACGCACCTCCTGTGTGGAGGTGTTGAAAGAGTAGCAAGTTTTTTGATATGGATTTTTCTTTAAGATAACCTGACCTTTTGTTATCACTGTTCATGTTTCCATTCTACAAGGTTCTCCATCAAAACTTTCCTGTTCAAGCTTTGCAGTAGTTGCCAGGGTGATTGCTGAAGACCCAGTTGGCATCTAAAAATGTTGATGCTGTAGAGAACACAGAGTATTTGGTGACTGAAACCTGAGGGATGCACGTCACCCAGCTGAACAGGGAACTCTGCACCATGTCAGTTTTAATGTCATTTCCCTCTCAGTTTTCGGCAGAGATTCCTTTTGTCTTTGAAACTTGACATTTCCCACATGATCTTCATCTCCCCTGCTGTAACCTCGCCACCACCCCCTTTGCTTTTAAACTGTGCACTTCCTATTTAAGTATTTGAATTTCATTTCATCTCTGTACTCTGTTTTATGTCACAAGCCGTTTGTTCAGTGCCTGCTAAATTGTTATTTCATGTGTGAGCTTTTTAAACCTTGTGGGAACAAAAGGTTCCCCTTTGCTTGGAGGTTGCAGAGGTGTAATTGAGAGCAGAAATTGGCCAGCAATTCTGTTGACAGCATGTGAACCAGAACAAAAATTTCTATTTCCCTGAGGCTATTTTGGTCCTTTAGTGTTAACAAATACAAAATATACTTAGGTTTGTCAGTAAGACAAGCCAGTGTGGTTCTGAATGCAAGCAAGGAGAAGTCCTGTTGAGGAAGTAGTTATTTTTAGATCTTTCTAGATAAAATAACTACTCATAGAAGCTAAAGGTGGTGCTCATGTCCTCTTCATCGCTTCCAGGTTGACTTGTTCCAGCTCCAAGTGAACACCCTGAGACGTTACAAGAGACATTATAAGTTGCAGACTAGGCCTGGACTCAACAAGGCTCAGCTTGCAGAAGTAAGTGACGACAGCAGTGTTATCTCTGTTACAAGAAAACTTTTTATTTCCCCTGTTCAAGGGCACATTTTGTGGGCGCTCACACCTGTGTGACTCACTGGTACAGACCAAGTGCCCTCTGAAAGGTTTCAGGGAATGATGCCAGCAGAAAGCTGCCTGCTTCCTTCTGCCTGGGACAGCTGTGGAACTCATGGACACTGGCTGTAGAAAGCCTGTTCTAGTAACTTGCTTGTCTCTGGTTCCTTTCCCACCCTTTCCATAGTGCCAGTCAGTGTCCTTTAGGGAGCAGAAACAGCACCTATTTTCTGGGGGTTATCTGGGGATGGCTTCTCAGCTGAAACTCAGACTTAACCCACTAATCATCTTCTTAAGTGCTCCTGTTGGTTTTTCTTTCCTCACAGGCACTTAAATTCATTGGAATTGCTTATTATTAAAGGCAGCATCATTGTGCATGGATTCATATTCTTTATTTCCCTCCCTTGTCCTGCTGATTCTGTATTATAAAAGGCTTTTTTCTTAAGGGCCTCTGCTGCTTTCTCACCATATGGGCTACTTGTTCAGAAAGAACTCTCTGTATCTCTCTGGTATTTGGGCGAGTTGTGCTTGCTGTGCTTCTGCTCTGCTCTCTTTCCTGACTTGATCTGAAGCCATGCTGTGGGAAAAATCTTCTCTAAACTTGAAAAAAACTGTAATAGTTACTGATTAGTACTGAGGTTGATTTTGTAAGTTGTGGCTTTCACAACTGTCTGTCTAAAACTGTCTGGTTTGCTTTTACTTTTGCTTTAAAGAACAAAAACCTGACAGACAAAAAAATTCAGCAAGACACTGTCTTTCTCTCTTTCAAAGTCAACCAGGGAGTGAATATCTAGAATATAGAGAATGTGCAATGTAGGGCATGTAGGAGTAAGTTGAATGAAGTAGGATGGAGTTGTACCTTATTAGCAGTCCTGATTTGTCATATTTTAACTAACCAATTCATGTCTGTCAGCTGCCTCCTGCCACGAAGGACTGCCTGCTTAAGGAATTTACCATGAATGTACCCAAGAGGAAAGAAAAGATCAATTACTGTGCAGGTGGAAAATAAAGGGAGCCTAACTTAAAGCTGTCACATACTTCCCAGATTTCCTGTGAAGCCTGGGCAGCTTTGACTCTATGATGGATCCTCATCCAGCTCCCATGCTTGAATCACTGCTGCCTGAGGCTCTTACACTCCTTGTGCTGTCCCACCGTGAGGGAAACTCAAACTTCCTTAAATCTCCTTGGAGTGACTTATTGCTCAACCTGCATCAGAATCCTGTGCTAAATCTGTGTTTATTCTATGAGAAGCAGATCTTGTCCAGCTCCAGCACGTTTTTTACGTGTTTCTACTTTGAGGAAAAAGCAGCTAATGTTTCAGGGCTTATGCTACTATCAGAGAGGGGTAGCCCTAACCAAACCCTAGCCTTCCCATTGCAAATTCTCTGACGTTACTTTCAGTGTAAACTTAAGAGTCCAGAGGAAATCAGTCTGGATAAAACTTTTCTGCACCTGGTTCACACAGCAAAGTGCTGCAGTGTTTCTGACACTCTCATTTAAAACACAGAGGGGCAGGGAAAACTTGCTCGCCAAATAATCTCAGCACAAAATGTCGCTGAGGAGAAGTTGTGCTGCTTTGGCAGGAGGACATTCTGGCTTCCAAATTCCTCTTGTAGGTTGGCTGCAAATCCTGCTGACATAGCAAGGCTATGCTATGTTCATACACACATTCCAGCTGTAAAGAGAGAGGGAGGTAAATGAGGACTGACAGTTGGAATTGGTGCATGTTTCACTCAAAGGATAATGCGCTCAGTGGCCATAAAATCATTTTTGGAAGGTGAAGAGAAACACTGTTGTAATTATTTCTAGTTTATAATTCCAGCATTTCTGTCTCTTTACCTGTTGTCTTTCTAGACTGTCAGTCGTCATTTCAGGAATATTCCAGTGAATGAGAAGGAGACACTTGCATATTTCATCTACATGGTGAAGAACAACAAAAGTAGGCTGGACCAGAAATCAGAAGGCAGTAAGCAACTCGACTGAAGATTAACAAGCTTGGAATAAAAGAGACCTTGAAGGAGAGTGTGGTATTGTGCGTTTTAGGTTTATGAAACTATTGAAGTATATTGTAAATTTTTTTTAAATGCAGTGTCTGGATGACAGAAAAAAATATAGACATTCTTATGAGGAGTATTTGAAAACATGTGCCCAGCATGTTTCCGAAGACTTCTTCCCCTCATTTCAAAGTCATATTGGAATAAAGAAATGAGGATAATGGGGAAACCAAATAAATCTGTAGAACTGTGGAGTTTGTCAACTTGGTGTTTTAAACCATTTCTGGAAATCTGCATCTCAGTGCAATTCAAATGCCAGATGGAATTTTTTTCACTGAATTCAGGCTGCATCACAAACCACCATGCAGTTTGTTTTGGTACAGGACTGGAAGAGCAGCAGAGATAAAATTCATTATCAAGGTGCATGGGTCAGAAGTTTGTCTGAAGCTTGCTGCTCACCTACACATGCTCTGTCTTGCCTTGAGTCAGTGCTTCAAGTCCCAAACTTCTACAAATGCTCCAGCTCACCAGATCTACTCCAGTGAACGCTACTTGACCAGTCTGAAATTGATGGGGCTTTTTGCCATTTTTTCCTCCCGACCCCATCCAACACAGATACCAACCAGCTCTCTGCAGTCTCTTTTCTAATTTCTTTTAAGAACTCGCTAATTAAATTTTCTGTAAGCATTTAAAAACTTCTGCATTTCTCTGAATGTGGTATTAAGGCAAACACAATCTATTTGCTGTGTCTGACCATGTTGATAGAAGTGCTTATTTAATTGATTTATGCATATTTCAGTGATGATAGGTGAAACACTGGCTTGAGACATCAGTCTCTTAATTTCTGTGTCAGGTCAGTATCGGTCACAATTGATGTGCATTTTATGCTGAAGCTTTAGCAGGTGTCACAAAACTGCTGTGTGCATTCAGGGGCTCTGTTTAGTATAAAGCAGATTTATGGGTGAGACACCATAACCAGGGCAGTGATCTGACTGGAGCATTTCATGATACATTTCATCTCCTTTGCAATGGGCAAGAAGCATCAAAGCATTTGCCTTCCATGAACATTACATGTGCTTTCATGAGAGCTGTGTGAGTGAGGGTGGCACCCTGGTGCACCCTAACAGGGCACTGTAGGAGGAGATCACCCTGATTTTATTTAAAGCCGAGGTGTCCTTACATAAAATACAGTGATTATTTTGGCAAAAAGAGCTTTTAAAAGTGTTGGTCATGACTGACTGTTCTCCAGTGACCTCAAATTCTCTTCAGGGGATCTCATGATTTAAAGCACCGCTCTGTTTCTTTGCTGTCCTGACCAGTCTCTCCATTCTGGTACAAGATGCCAAGACTCCACATAGAGAGGATATTCTTAACAAGCCTTAAGCAACGAAATGAACAGTAGAAAACCTTGGCTAACATTTTGTAAGTGGCAGGTTTTATTATTTCAAAACTGGATGAAGCTTTGTTTAAGAGCTAAACACACTGGTCATGGTCCCAGCTTAGTACTACATTGCATTTTGTAAGGCATGAAGGGTTCACTTAGTGAAGCTCTTGTTGAAGCTCTCCCAGGGTCTCTTTAAAATTCAAGTCACAATTTAAAGCAAGTTGTTCACATCACTCTGAATTGTTTGCTAATACTCCAAAAACACGTTCAACAAACTTCAACATGTCTTAAGTCCTGTGTCATAGGCAGAAATACTCTGTTATGGTACACATCCCATTTGTGACAGCTGGGGAGTGTGATTGTTTCAGCATTTCCTTGTTCAATTCCATATAGATTTTTTAGAACATCATTCAAGAGAAAGGTTCAAGGAATGAGGAGAGAATGTCTTGTGTCAGTATTTCATGAATGTTTAAAAATTTCCTATTTGTGCTGGTCCTTTCCTTATTGGAAGGGTGGAGTAGTTCCCACATCAGTCAACACGATCTGGCTTCTCTCATTCAGGACAGATGGTTAGAAGGGTACATTCTCTGACTGCATGTTAACCTTCAACATGCTCATGTAATCGGAGGGTGTTACCAAGGGAAAATGAGTTTCTGAGTTGAGAGTTATGCCTCATAGTGATTCTTCCCCTGTACTGGGCACTGGTGAGGCCACACCTCGAGTGCTGTGTTTAGTTCTGGTCCCCTCAATTCGAGAGGACATTGAGGTGCTGGAGCAGGTCCAGGGAAGGGAAACAAAGCTGGTGAAGGATCTGGAGCACAGGTCCTGTTAGGAATGGCTGAGGGAGCTGGGGTTGCTCAGCCTGGAGAAGAGGAGGCTCAGGGAGCACCTTCTCATTCTCTGCAACTCCCTGACAGGAGGGTGGAGCCCGGTGGGAGTTAGGCTCTTCTCCCAGGCAACCAGCGACAGGACAAGGGGAAACTGCCTCAAGCTGCACCAGGAAGGTTTAGGTTGGACATTTGGAGGAATTTCTTCACTGAAAGGGTGATTAAATATGGGAATGGGCTGCCCAGGGAGATGGTGGAGTCACTGTCCCTGGAGGTGTTTAAGGAAAGACTGGCACTTGGTGCCATGGTCTAATGGACCTGGTGGTGTTTGGTCATAGGTTGGACTCGATGATCTCAGAGGTCTTTTCCAACCTAATTGATTCTGTGATTCTGTGATTCTAGACCAAAACTGTAAAAATGTAGTTTGTTTGGGATTTACTTTTTTTTTTGTGGTTGTATTTTATTTTGTTTTATTTTTAAGAGTAAATAAATCTGTTGGGGTGTTTTAGTAGCCAGCAGCAAAATGATTCTTTTCAAGGAAATATGGTGGCAGGTTCCATCTGTTCAGGTGTATTCACTGGAATGCTTTTGTGCCGAGGTGGTATCCAGGAAACTTTTCTTTCCTTTTTTTTCCTGAAATAGTCAATTGATGTTAAATGTGATCCTTGTTGGTTTCACTTCTAAAGCAATTTTACTTTTTTGAAAAAAAATTCTTAGTGAAGTGTAATGATGAAGAGATGTTTACCAGCCATTAGCAGTTGTTTATAAGGTGGAAAGCTTGGAGGCAAGACACCAAAGAAACAGAAGAATCTTTGGCTGTCAGACCCCATGGCCTTATAAACCCCTTGCAAATGCCTTATTACCTTGTTCTCAACTTAGCTAGAGCAAAACACCTTGAGCAACAGAAAGCTGATGGTCTTGATGGAAGGGTCAGCCACTTGCTGGCTCCCATGCTATGAACTGAAACCACACGTCAATTCAGTAGCAATATCCATGTTCAGGGTGCCTGTGATTCTTGAAAAGCATTTAGTGTCTAATAACCAGAAAACGCAACAATGCAATTGTCCTTGTGTACGATACCGTGCTGTGTGTTCGATTCCTTATGCTGCATGCCAAGTAAAAAAAGAAAAAAGACTTTCCAACTTTTTATTTTAAACGTCAGATTAAATGTGTTTGAACCTCACACTTGTGAAGCCATGAGGTGGGACATTTTCTCAGCACTTTTAGATGGGATTTGTTGGAAAGGTGTAAGACCCAAATCGCTTTGGCTGGTATGATAAGATATTTTTTTTGCATTTTGCTTTTCACAGATGGGCCTTAAATTCTGTCTAGCTTTGAACCATGGAGCACAAGCCTTGGGGGCATGGAGGATGACCAGATGTCATCTTCTATTTATAATAGTGGAAGCTTATTTCTTACAAGCCTGCATAGGTGACATTCACCCTGGGGCAGAGGAATTGTCTCTGAAGGTCTCCAGCCATTATATAGCCTAATGCAATTCCATAGCATAGCTCAATTCTCATTGCAGAGTTCCATTAACTTAATTAGAGTTCTGAATAGATCCAAAGCCATTAGTATGCAATCCAAATAATGCAGAAACATCTCTTCTGGGGTTAATTTCATCCTGTATGCTGACCCTCTGCTCATTTCAAGGGAAGAAGAAATCATTGCTGGTAGTTATTGGCTTGAGCTCAGCTCAGGGGAGTTGGAAGCATGCAAAGACTCGAGTCAGTAGCAACCTGATGGCTGAAAAGTGCAAACACATCCAAGGAGGCTCTGTTAGAATGCAATTTTCAACATTTCGTAATCTGAAAGATTATTGTATATTAACCTGAAGTGAACGGTTGCATTAGAAAGTAATGTTTCTTTTGCCAGACACTTCAGATGCTCAGCCTGAGAAAAGCAGAGCTCTCTACCACTTCTCTCCAGTATTCTGGTGTCCCAGTTTTCCTTAGAAATGTGGCTGTAAACCACTAGATACCCCAGGGTGCAAGGATTGACCAGAACATGTCAAGCCTGGCATTTCAAGTGAGTCTGAAGTGCAAGCTGGGTTCAGAGAGGCTTTGAACACAAGAGCCGAAATAATCTGCAGTAAATGGGAGTTTTCATGCAGGTCATGATGGCACAGGGAGGATGAAGCAGGACATGGCCCACAGGGAGACTGAACAAAACATTCTTCCACAGCAGCAGCAGCGTAGAGGGAGATTTGTTCTGTGTCAGCTCTTGTGATGGATGTTTTATGAGAGGGGGAGGAGGGCAAGCTGTGCACTTTACATCTTTTGGTTGAGCCAAATGTAAATACCAATGGGAGATCTTCAGCAGGAACTGCAGTTGGAGGGGAGAGGAGATCTGCTGAGGGACTGTTTGTTTGAGTTTGCAGATCACTGGACTTCCCTGGAGCACTAGAGTCACTTTGTCTCTACAGCTTAGAAACGTGGGTAATACAAGGTGGCCTCCCTTCCAAAAGGAGTCCTTGTGCTGCCCAGAGTAAGGACTGAAGAGTCCCAAAGGTGAAGGAATGTTATTGATGCCTCACTCCTCGTGTCACTGATGCCATTTAACCATCTCTAGCTTATCAAGTTAGGGAGTTCTCATTTTCCACTTCTGAAGTGCAAATGAACTGTTAGGATATAAGATACTCCTTGCACTTTTCACAGCTATCCCTGGTCTCATGTTTTTGACTTGCTTGTGAACACATCTGTTTGGGATGAACTAAATGCTTGAACAAAGTGTGGGGAGAGGGGGAGGCTCCTGCCTTAAACCTGAACTTCCCTTGCAAGCAGCTCTGCAGGCCATCCTGTACATCAGCAGGCTCCAGGAGTCTCTGGCTTACCTGAGCCTTACCAGGGCTGAGTTTACTCCTGTCCTACCCACACCTCTGCTCCACAGCTACTGCAGGGGAGGTGGGTAGCAGGTAACTTGCAGAATGGTTTGGAGTCTTTTGGCAGGCTTACTGGGAGAGAAAACTGTGTTCCCTCTTCTGTTTCTGGCCTCCATGTGTTGTGCTGATCTTATGCCAAATGTTTTGGACACCTTGTATTTTTAACTGTGTAATATAGCTGTGTATTGTTAAAGCAACTTAGTAACTTATAGCAAAAACTGTAGAATTCATTTCTCTGAGGTGTAGGAAATGTCCTGCTTCCACTGTGTATGAGACTTTAACTCTGTACTGTCTGACAAAGATAAAATTCTGAATTTCACTTTAATAAATGATCTATCTAGCAACCAGGCCCATATTCCCTTGTTTGCCTTTCTGCCCTCAGCACTGATGGTTCCAAAGCCAAGGGAGTTCTGCTTTGTGTGGATGTTTTGTGCCAGGCTTCTCAGATTCACTACCTTTTCCCACCCACCATCCCAGGGCTGAAAACACTGCAGACATGGAGCAGAGAATGGCACTGCTCAGTGGGAATGCCAGGCTTGCAGTAGAAGTCTCAGGTGATGGGATATTTTCTGACAAACCCATGTAGGTTGCCCAGGTGCAATTAATGGAGTCTTTTGAAAGCAACAAAAAGACAACTTGCAAG